GGCTTTTTTATTTATTTTTTGTCTTTTTGAGACAGGGTCTCGCTATGCAGTTCAGGCTGGCCTTGAGCTCACTTTGTAGCCCAGGCTGGCCTCAAACTCGCAATGATCCTCCTGTCTCAGCCTCCAGAGGGCTGGAATTACAAGAGTGCACCACCACGCCCAGCAAGAAAACTTTGTTAAACATTGGCAAAAGATTTCTTTAGGGTGCTGGGGGTAGAATTCAGGGCCTTGTGTAAGGCAAGCAAGTCCTCTGTCACTGAGCCAGCCCTGGGAAAACTGGCACAGGATTTCAGTGGCTAGTTCACCAAAAAAGACATATAAAGGGCAAAGAGCTATAGGAAAAGATGTTCAATATGATCAGGTAGGAGACAAGTGCAAATTAAAGTCCCAGCAAAATGCCACTAAAATTGTTAAAATTAATGAGACTAGAGCCCGGCATGGTGGCACATGCCTATCATCACAGCACTTATTGAGGCTGAGTTAGGAGGACTGCCAAGAAGTCAAGGCCAGTCTGGACCACATAGCAAGACCATGTCTCAAACAAACAATAACAAAAGACAGAAAGGAAAAAGAGGCTAAAAACCTTTAAAGACTGCTAATACCTAGAACTGGCACAATGAGTCTAGAAAACAATTTGACAGTTTCTTCTTTCCCTCTTTCTTTGAGAACACAAACTCTCAATCCTCTTGCTTCAGCGTCTGGGGTGCTGGGATTACAGGTACGCACCACTACGCCTGGCTATGAGACCATAAAGTTAAGTGAAATAAATCACACATGAATTAAATTTCACATGATGTCTTTCTTTTTTGTTTTGTTTTGTTTTTCCAGTACCGGGAATCGAACTCACGACCTTGTGCTTGCCAGGCAGGCGCTGTGCCACTGAGCTAAATCCCCAGCCCCCACACATGATCTCTTTCTATGAGAAACCCAAATTATAAATATGGAGCAAAATAAAAGATAGATAATAGGAAACAGGGAGACAGAGTCCCCTTCCCTTTCTATAAAAAGGAAGGGGACAAAAAAAATAAAAGGAAGGGGACCAAAAGCCAGAGAGAGGAGCAGAGAAAAGATGAAAAAGGAATGAACGAACTCCCTACAAGGGATAGGATCATTATGGACCACAAATGGGACTAATAAAAATGGTTTTCACCAGGGCTGTCATGGCTTTCCTCATAGTAGCCCACCCTGCGTCCTCCAGGGTGTACTTTTATCTTGCTTTTTCCTTGCTTGGCCCAAGCTTGCTCTGCGGAGCCAATTTCTCCCTCACTCTTCACTTTTACTTTTTCCAATAAACTTTGCCACTGCTGAAAGAACATTTTAAAAATTTTGTATGGTGGTATATGCCTGTCATCCCAGCACTCTACGAGTCTGAGGCAGGATTGCAAGGTCAAGGCCAGCCGAGGCAACTTAGAGAAACCCTGTCTCAAAATACAAATTTAAAGATAGGGGGATGAGGGATGTAGCTCAGTGGAAAGGCCCTGAGTTCACTCCCCAGTACTGGGACAGAACGAAGGAAGAAGCAAGCAAGCAAGCAGCCCTGGACTCAGCCTGCTCCAAGGCTGCCCCCATTTCTGCACCCTGAGGGACTTGCTCGGGGTGGAAGATCACAAGGCCTTTGTTGTCCTTGTGCCACGGCTCACGGGAGTAGACACAGCAGGCTAAGGCTCACAGAGGGGGGCGGTCAGGGCTTGAGCCTGGCTTTGTATTCACTCTCCACCTTTGCCCGCTGAAAGGTGTCTGCATATGACAAGAAGCCACCTAGGCAATGTTGCATGGGCTAAGGACACTTCCCAGGAACTGCTGTGCAGTCCTCAGCCTTTGTAGGCAGGCCAGGTGCTGGGGGCGGGGGCCGCATGTGCCCCGTGCAAGTACCTGGTGCAGGGCATGTGCATGCACGGCCGCGCCGGGCTCCAGGCAGGGTGTTGAGCACACACCCACTGCCTCTGCCTTGGTCTGCACCCCACTCAGGCTGGGAAGGGAAGGAAGAGGATGCCTGGCTGCTGTTGCAGCCCAGGCCATGTGAGAACACAGACAGAAATGAACTTGCCCCAGGCCCAGGCAGAGAGCAGACGGCGGGGGTAGCCAGGCCGGGTGAGGGGATGGCGGGTAGGGACTGGCAGGGCACGGCCCCCCAGCAGTGTGTGTGCATGTCTGCAGCAAGGGTGGCTGCTTGGGGGTGTGGCTGTGTCGTGTACGCGGAGCACATCTAGGTGAGCACCACGGGGAGGTCCAACCAGAGCGGTAGGTGGGGGAGGAGAAAGAGGGTGGGGTGTTCTTGGCTCCCACAGGCCCCCAGGAAGGAAGTCACTTACTGGGGTGCAATTAGCCCTGCCCAGCCTCTGGCCCGCACTCTCCCTCCCTGTCCGTCATCTCCGGACAGCGGCTGCCCTAAAGAGGAGGGGTGTACCCCAGCTTTGACCCCAAAGAGGGACAGGGCGGAGCCTGGTCTCAGTTTCTCCAGTCACAGGTGAGGCGCCATGGGGCAAAGTGACCTCCAGTGCAGAAGGCCCAGGAAGTGGGCCCTGGGGACAGGGGCGGGCCCAGCCGGGGACCGGCTGAGGCGGGTTCAGGGCCCAGGAGTTGGGGGCAGGAGTCCTGGGGACGGATCAGGGAAGCCCAGGGGCAGGCGGGGAAACAGGAACCTACTTCCCGGTGGCGGCAGCCGTGGCAAGTGGCAGTGGCGAAGGCGGGAGGCTGGGGGAAGGGGAGGAAGTGTGGGCGGGGCGGGGCGGGCGATGGAGAGCGGATCGGTCGCCTGGGCCACCTTCACACTGCCGCCCCACTGCCCGGGAGCCGGGAGCTTGGCCAGGTAAGCAGCTTCCAGGGCCTGGGTGCACACCTGGCCCCTCCTGCCCAGTTCCCAACCTAGTGAGCAGTCCAGGTCCCCTGTGCTACCTGGACATCCCCAGGCCTGACTGTCCCCCTCGCCTTCTCTGCCCAGAACTGGGCCCAGGCTGGACCCCGTCCCACACGCACACCCTGACAGGCACCTGCACCCCGGCACCTCCCTAAGGGCCCCTGTGCCGAGAACCTGGGCCACCAGGCTGGCCCCTGAGTGGAGGCTACGTTCACTGTCGCCAGGCGCAGAGGACACTCGTGGCCACCCCACTATGTTTTTGGCGTCTACCACCTCCGGTAAGGCGGGATGAGCGGGCTAGCCCTGTCCTGAAGCCCTCCTTCGACCCCCTGTGGGAGGGGGGGAGGGGAGCGCAGGCTCTACCTGCTCCCAGGGCGGGGCTGCCCTCGACTCCCACAGATCGCCACAGCCGGGGGGCCTCCTCGGAGGGTCCCTCTGTTGAAAGCCGGAAGTGGGTGGCAGGGTGTCGGTCGTACCCCTAGGGCCAGGGGACCTCTCCCCCGAGCCTTCGGTAACTTGGCCTCTCTCTTGCCCAGCAGTGCCTGGGCCCCTCTCCCTGCTCAGCAACAGCAGCCAGGAGCAGCCCCTGGATGCCCGGGACCCACTGCTAGCGCGGGCTGAGCTGGCCCTGCTGTCCACTGTCTTTGTGGCTGTGGCTGTGGGCAACGGCCTGGTCCTGGGGGCCCTGGTCAGGCGGGGCCGGCATGGACGCTGGGCGCCCATGCACGTCTTCATCGGCCACTTGTGCCTGGCTGACCTGGCAGTGGCTCTGTTTCAAGTGCTGCCCCAGCTGGCCTGGGACGCCACCGACCGCTTCCGAGGCCCCGATGCCCTGTGCCGGGCTGTCAAGTACCTGCAGATGGTAGGCATGTATGCCTCCTCCTACATGATCCTGGCCATGACGCTAGACCGTCACCGCGCCATCTGCCGCCCCATGCTGGCCTACCGCCACGGGGGCGGGGCTCGCTGGAACAAGCCGGTGCTGGTGGCCTGGGCCTTCTCACTGCTCCTCAGCCTGCCACAGCTCTTCATCTTTGCCCGGCGCGACGTGGGGGACGGCAGCGGGGTCTTCGACTGCTGGGCACGCTTTGCAGAGCCTTGGGGCCTCCGTGCCTATGTCACCTGGATCACCCTGATGGTGTTCGTGGCGCCAGCCCTAGGCATCGCTGCCTGCCAAGTTCTCATCTTCCGGGAGATCCATGCCAGCCTGGTGCCAGAGCCATCTGAGAGGGGGTGCCGCAGAGGGCACCGGACAGGCAGCACCAGAGAGGGTGCACATGTGTCGGCAGCCATGGCCAAGACCGTGAGGATGACACTGGTGATCGTGATCGTCTATGTGCTGTGCTGGGCGCCTTTCTTCCTCGTGCAGCTGTGGGCGGCGTGGGACCCCCAGGCGCCTCGGGAAAGTGTGTGTGGCCGTCCGTGGGGGCTGCTTGGGCGTGGCCGTCCACAGCAGGCTCCCTGACCCCAGCTGGGCTCTCCTATCCCGCAGGGCCCCCCTTCGTGCTGCTCATGCTGCTGGCCAGCCTCAACAGCTGCACCAACCCCTGGATCTACGCATCCTTCAGCAGCAGTGTGTCATCGGAGCTGCGCAGCCTGCTCTGCTGTGTCCGGGGCTGTGCCCCGCCTGGCCTGGGGCCCCAGGATGAATCCTGCACCACCGCCAGCTCCTCCCTGGCCAGGGAAGCTTCCTCCTGAGGAGTCAGTGGGTGCTGGACTTCTAGGCCCCCAAAGCTCAGCTGCCTGCCTGGGGCTGGCCCCAGGGCCCTGTTGCTGCCACACAGTGTGGCCCTGGCCCGAACCCCTTTTGGCCTTACTGACCCCGAGTGCACAAGGAGGCCTTGGGGCTCCAAGACTGTGAGGGGCCCCTTAGGTGAGCTCCTTCATGCAGGCTATGGGGACAGATGGGGGTCTCGGGTGGCAGGTGACAAGGGCAAATGCCTCCGTGGAGCCTTTGACATAGAGGTTCACAGGAGCCAGACAGGGAGGACCTCTCTGTCTGTACCTCCCTAGTCCTTCCCTTCTCTGTCCCTTATTAAAATCACAGTTCATTTTTCCATACCACAAGGTGTGTCCTGGAACAAGGTATGGCATGCGCGCAGACACACACACACACACACACACGAAGAGCCCATGTGTACCAGGCCCCTGGAGCACAATGTAGGCTATCAAGGCTTCTTAGGACAGGTCCCCAAGTGCACAGCTCCCAATGGACAGCTCATAGCAGGGGACCCTGAGGAAGCCCTTCCGGCCACCCGCCTCTGCCTTGGGACCTGGCCTCCAGCAGGGCCGGACACAGACAGCAGCTGCTCAGGGGATCATGCACAGGGCTTTATGAGTTCTGCAGGACCCACCCACCCGCCCCAGACAGAGCTGGGGCGTAAGGGAGAAGCAAGGGGCCCAAGGAGAAGGGGACAGCCCCGGGGTCCCCTCCCTCAGTGTGCCTTGGGGGCCGAGTCCGGGCCCTGCAGATTCAAGGCAGAGGGGGAAGCTGGCCCCGAGGGCCCGCGGGCAAAGCCTTTGTTCCTGCCAAGCACACCGCCACCGCCACCTGGGGACTTCGGGCTGCGCGGCCCAGGGCTAGTGGCGGTTGCCTGGCGCATGGTGGCCTTTCCCAAAAGCTCCTTGAACACCGAGTCCATGTTCTGTGTCACAGCCTGGTGGGAGGATGAGCACAGAGGCATCGGGTCATGGTGCTGCCCTGAAAGCCCCAGTGGCCCCTGTGGCTCTCTGTCCCCAGCCTCCCCACTCCGCACTGCTGGCCCTCCTGCCAATGTGATATGGTGCCATGCCTCTTCCGAGGACAGCAGTTCCCAGGTATGGCACCAAAGTGGGGTCTGGTTGGCTGGGCCCTGGGCCTCCCATCCCCTCCCTTCCCTGACACAGATGGCAGACTCCGTCCATGGTCTCTAGGGTCACCAGCATGCTGGGGACTCCCAGGTCAGTGTCCTCCTCTGGGCCCCACCCCAGCCCGCACCACGCCTGGCTGCCAGGCTGCTGGCCCTTGAGGCCATCCTGCCTGACCCACACTCTAGGCCAGGGCGCTGAGCCGCACTGGGGACACCAGCACACTCTCGCACGCCCTTTCTCAGGCTGCACAACTGTTCACCAGGGCCTGGTCCCGAGCCCACTCTGCTCCCTCGGCCGGCCTACCCTCCCACCTCTCTGCCATCTGTCTCATCTTCCCTGGTGTGCCAAGCACCTGCCACGTCACTGCCTGTCATTTGGCCTGGCTCTCACTGCCAGGTGCCCCTGCCCTGTGCCAGCCTAGAGTCTGGGCTCATCCCTGCTCTGTACCCCTGTCCTCCTGGGCATGAGTACCCCTAGACTGTGGCCACCACAGACAGCAGGCTGCAGCCTTCCCAGAGGAGGGGACAGCCGGCTTTGCAAGGGGCACAGGGGCCATGTCTCACCTTATCTACCTCCACATATTGCTCCAGGGAAGTTGGCACCAAGCAGCGTCGTCTGTGGCCAGAGGGGCCCGTGGTCTCAGGCGGGGTGCCTGGTTCCAGCCTGCAGGGCAGACAGTGAGCCTCATGGGACCCTAGGAAATGCCCCGCCCCAGGGTCCCCGAGCTCTTCTGACGCTGTGCTTCCCAAGGCCACTCAGGCCCGGTCAGTCTGCCCTTGGCATCCCTCATCTGACCACCCTGTCTGCTGCCTGAGGAATGAGAGGGACCGTCTCCTCCTCCCCTAGCCCTGGGCCACTGGCAAGCCCAGGCAGCCCTCTGGGTGGCTGGCAAGGAGGGGAGGGGCAGCATCCTGGGGCTGAACACCTTGGGGTGACCTTGTGCAGTCCCCCAAGCCTGGAGGGCCTCACTCACCCCTCAGGCAGTGTGATGTACTTGTGTGGGATGAGCCCACACATGCCACCGTGCTCCCCACGCCACCAGTCGCTCGAGGCGCGTGCGTGCAGCCTCAGCACGTCACCGCGCTGGAAGCTCAACTCCTGTGCCGTGCGGCCTGCGTACCCGAAGCAGGCCACCGCCTCCAGGGTGCTTTCTGGGTCTGCGGAGGACAGAGGGTGCGGGTGGGTGGCGCGGTCACAAGGGAGAGGGGCATGGCAGGGCCCACCGCCCCTCACCATCCTCCTGGGCCGAGGTGGCGCCTTCCAGCTCTGGCTCGATGTCCCCTGTGAGGCTGTCCAAGTGCGCGTCCCTGATGCAAGAGCGGGGAGAGGGTGAAGGGCCCCCTCCCCGGCCCAGAGCCCAGGCCCCCCAGAGCAGCAGCTAAGTGAAGCGCACCCCAGGCAGCCAGCAGTGGGTGGTGCCATGCACTTCTCGTAGACAGGGCCAGGCAGCACGGCCAGGGCCGGGAAGACTTGCGCGGGCTGCAGGATGAGTGTCTGCACCAGCTGGTTGATGCGACCCTGTAGGGCCACCGGGTCCTGACCGCTGGGCACAGGCAGCAGTGTGGGCCCGAAGCACACTGCCAGGTTGTAGGGGTCCATCATGTTCTCGTCACTATACTGGGCCAGGCTAGGGGAACAGGTGGGGGGTGGTGGATGGACGCTCCCATGGGTGCCCTCAGCCTCCTGCCCCCGTCCCCTGTCCCCACCCCCGTCTCGTCCCTGCAGCACTCACTGGTTGAGGAAAGTGAAGAGGTAGCGCAGCACCACAAGCACCGGGCTGGACAGCCGCGCCAGCAGATGGCCCACAGGCTGCACGCGCTCGGCTACAGCCTCGGTCTCTGCAGCCGGGGTCCCCGAGAAACAGTGAGGGAGTGCGACCTGTGCCACGGGCGTCCCGCCCACCGGCTCCACTCCCCCTCACCTGCAGAGGCCAGCAGCTCCACCACCAAGTCCTCGGGGAAGAGCGCGGGCTTGAGGCTGCGGAAGTAGAGCTTGAGCACACCGGCCACTGAGTCCAGATCATGGGGTGTGCAGCCCTCCACCAGAGGGTCCTCCCCTGTGGGCGAGGATGCACAGTGAGGGCCAGCCACGCCCACCGGCCCACACCACCCAGAGCCCGCCCACCTGTCCTCACCTCTCTCAAAGGCATCACGGATCTCTGTGATCCGAGGCTGGGCACCAGACACCCGGAAGATGCCCTCGTGCTGGAGGCCTGCAGAGGACACGGGGCTGGGCACCAGGGTCCCCCCCCCAGGACTGGCCTGCAGCAGGTGAGGTACCTGCATCAGGCACCAGGGCAGGTGTGGCTTACCATTGAGGTTGATGAAGCGGATGCAGCTCTCTACCACCAGGGGCACGGGCTGGCCTGAGCTCTAGGGACAAGACAGGCAGGGCGTCACTTCACAGGGAGACAGGCAGCACCACTTTGCCCTGACCAGTGCATTATGGCCAAGTTTTTCACAGTTGCTCCTAAGGGTCTACTATTTCCCATTTTGGGGGTTGTTGGGTTTTTTTGTTTTTTAAGACAGGGTCTCACTATGCAGTTCAGGCTGGCCTTGAACAGTGATCCTCCTGCTTCCGCCTCCCAAATGCTGGGACGACAGGCCTGTGTGCCACACACCTGGCATTAAGTATCTGGTATTTCCGATGTTAATTTAGGCAGTGCCTTACATTTTATTTGCAAATTGTTGCTGGAATGTAAAAACACAATCAAAATTCGGAAGAGGGCCTTGAATCCAGTAACACTGCAAACTCAAATTCATTCATTCAGAGTCTGATTCTTTTGAATGCTCCATGTACACAACCACATTGTCGGAAAGGACAGGGTTATTTTTTTCTTCATGGACCACCCCCCATACTTTTGTGGAGCTGCAGGTCAGATCTAGGGCCTTGGCACTGACTAACACCCCTTCCCTTTTGCAATTTGGAGACAGGGTCTTCACTAGGTCCCTAAGTTGCCCAGCAACTGGGCTTGAAATTTCAATCCTCCTGCCCCAGCCTCCCTGAGTGCTGGGATGACAGGGGTGCACCACCCTGCCTGGTTTTGGATCTCTCTATTCCTGTATTTCACTGTCCAGGATCCCCACAGCCACACACATGAGCCAGAAGTAGGACCCAGGGGCATCTCATGTTGATCCCAGTGTGGGGTGGGACTCAGCGTAGAGACCTGGGAGAGGTCACAGGGGCGTAGTTGAGCTCCAGCAGGGACAGAGGACATGGAGTCGGGTGGCTGCTTGGTCAGAGCTGAGAAAGCACAGAAGGGACAGGGCTGGCCTGCAATCCCATGGAGTATGGGCCGTGCACATACCTGGATGAACTTCTCCATGTCACCTCCAAAGAGTCTCTGGTTATACTGCGAGCTGGGGCGTGGCTGGCGGCTCTTCTGCAGTTTTCTCTGTGAGTACTGGGCCCTGCGGTGAAGGGGACCTGGCTCAAGGGAGCAGGCACAGAGGACACCATGGCCCCCTCACACCTGCCAGGCCAGGCCTGCACCTCCTAGGTTATTCGTTTTTAACAAATAACAGGATCTGTTATTTGGAGACAGGATCTCCCTCTGGAGCCGAGGCTGGCCTCAAGCTCAGGCCCTCCCGGCTTTTCTGCAGTGCATGGAGGCCCCGAGGCACCGGCATAGGGCCGAGCCCCATGAAGAGACTGGGCACTTTTGGGGGACTCACCACGACGTCTCCTGCTGCTCCTTGTCGCCTGGGGAGGAGAAAGGGTTGGTGGCCTGCCTTGTGGGCGTAGGCCTGCAGTGGGCTCAGTGAGGGGCTGGGACAGGCCAAGGTCAGGCTGTTGCCGGGCTGTCCCTACGTGCAAGGCCTATCGGGGCAGGGAGGGAGGCAGTGCGGCCAGCGCACCTCGCCCTATGGCCTCCTGCAGCTTCTCGTGCTTGGCCTGCAGCTTGGCGAGGATGCTGCGTCCGCTCAGGTACTCCTGCAGCTTCTGGGGAGTCCAAGAAGAGCCCCAAGTTTCAGACGTGCATGGCCTGTGCCGCCCGAGCCGCCCGGCATGTTCATCCAGGTATGTGCCCACACCGTGATGTAGAAGGTCTCTGTCTCCTGCTGCTGGCCCCGCTTCCGGCCCGCCTGCCGCCCGCCCGAGTCCGAGCCGGTGGACTTGAGGGACTCCGTGGATGGGCTGGTCTGGAAGGAGTCAGGCACGTCTCCGTCATCCGATGCCACCAACTCCAGCAGGGCCTGCAGCGTTGCCTTCAGCGTCTTGTTCACCTGGAGAGGGCACAGGGCTGGCTGGCAGAGGCCGTAACAGCAGGAAAGGCGGGGCTGGGTCCCAGCCCCTACCCAGACCATCCCCTCCTCACACCTCTTCAGTCTCGATGGTCTGCTGGTCCAGGCGGCTCCGGATGTTCTGCGCCCTGGGCACAATCTCGTCCCGCAGCTCCAGCTCAACCTGGATCTCAGCCACCTGCAGGGACAGCGCCAGGGCTGACGTGAACACCCCGAAGATGTGCCCACTGGGAACGACGGCACATGGCTTGCTTGTGACACTCCAGAGGGGGAAACAACCAACCCAGCCCCAAGAGGGAAAAGTACAGGCGTGGGAGAGGGTGCCAGGGACAGCTCCTATCTGGGTGATGGCTATACAACTTGTGAATATATTAAAACCACTGAATTGTACCGCGGACTGAACCCAGGGCCTTTGCACTGAGATCTATCCCCAGCCTTTTTATTGTGGGACAGGGTCTCACTAAGTCACTAGGTTACCTAGGCTGGGCTCCAACCTGCCGTCTTCCTGCCTCAGCCTCCCAGACTGCTAGGGTGACAGGTGTTGCCACTATGCCCAATTTGAATTGTGTATTTTTAGTGAATTGATGGTACACGTTACACCTCAACTAGCTGTCTATTTAAAGCCAAGAATGGCCAGGAGAGCTGGGCCCTGAGACAGAAGGCGGGACCTGGGGGACAGAGAGGACAGAGCAACAGCTGCCTGCCTGTGGGTGCACAAGATGCAGAGGAGAGCACTTCAGGAAGCCAGAAACTGGTACCTGGGTGAGTCGGGGTGATGAATACGCTCAGTGCGTAGCAGCCGAGTTTGGACCCCAGTGCCAAAAAGACACAAACATCTAAACATCCAGAAAACTGCACTGCAGTTAGAAGTGTGTTAAAACTGTGTGATAGCCAGGCGTGGTACTGCACGCCTGTCACCCCAGCACTTGAGAGGCTGAGGCAGGAGGACTGCTGTGAGTTCTAGGCTAGCCTGGGCTACATAGCAAGACCCTGTCTCAAAGAAAACAAAAATCATGATTAAAAAAAAGAAGAGTGAGGATGTAGCTTATCTGCAAGAAGCTGGACACTCCCTGTCTCTGTCCTCCCAAGCCCCACTCTATGGGTCTGAGCAGGGTCTAAGTCATAGAAGAGAACAGGAGAGTCCTGACTCCGCCTACAGCATGGATGACCACCGAGTGAAGGGCACATCCTGCCTAACACACTTCCAGTTCCTTGAAAGTGCGGAAGCCGCAGGCAGGGACAAACACCGGAGGGTGCCAGGGTGGAGGGAGAAGACTGCGGACTGTGTTCAGTGGGGACAGTGCCAGTGCTTACTGCTGTCGAAGCGTGGACCAAATAGGCTGGATTTTTGGTTTGATTTGGTTTTTTGAGACAGGTTCTCACTATGTAGCTCAGGGTGGCCTCCAACTTACAGCCGCCACCACACCTGCTTATCTTGTCTTTTAAACAAGGCCCCCCTTGGACCGGGGATGTAGCTCAGTGGCATAAGCGCCTGCCCGGCAAACGCAAAGTCCTGAGCTTGATTCCTGGTACCAAAGTAAATAAAAAAATAAATAAATAAATAGCCCCCCCCAAGCCCTAGGAAATACTGAGCCCCCCCCCAGCTCACACCATTGGCAGGAACTGGCCACTTTTCAGGAAGGACCCACCGCCAGGGACAGGCTCTGGGATGTTAGTCACAGCTGATGAGCGGGTGAAACTGCACACTGGGGACAGTGTGTGGAAGCCCCGGCCTCTGGGGCCGGCCAGGTCCTATTAGCTCAGCCTTGGTGTCCTGTTGAACACAGGCAACATCACAAAGCAGCAGCATTGGATGAGGCCACAAACAACGCCATGCTCTAAGCACATCTGACGCCACATGAAAGCAAGAACCTTGTCCCTGGACCTTGGTTTTCTGTCATTATTGTTTGATGCTGGAGTTGGCACCCGGGGCTCTTGCATGCTAGCTAAGTGTGGTGCCATTGAACTACATCCCCAGCCCTTTTTTTTTTTTGGTTTTTTTTTTCCAGTAGCGGGAATCAAACTCACGACCTTGCGCTTGCCACGCAGGCGCTGTGCCGCTGAGCTAAATACCCAGCCCCTTTTTTGTCTTTTTTTTTTTGAGACAGGGTCTCACTGTGCAGTTCAGGCTGGCCTTGAGCTCACTTTGTAGCTCAGGGTGGTCTCGAACTTGCAACGAGCCACCTGCCTCAGCCTCCCGAGTGCTAGGATTACAGGCACGCGCCACCATGCCCGGCCCCCAGTCCTTTTTCCAACTTTCTTTTAAAACAAGGTCTAGCTGAGTTGTCCAGCCTGCCCTTAAGCTTGGGATCCTCCTGCCTCAGCCTCCTGCCTCAGTGCTGGGATGGCAGGTGTATCCGCCAACATGTGCAGCTCAAATTTGTGTTTAACTTCACTTGGGCGTGGGAGGTCATTAAACAAATCTCTGCGAAAGCAGAATGGAAAGGCCTGGAGATGGGAAATGGGAAGGAGAAGGAAATTCGTCAACCACGAGGCCCAATATCCAACAACAAGGATTCCAAAAGAGAGTGAATTGGAAATGAAGGGCAAGAGGTTATCAAAGCAACCCTACCAGCCCCAAAGCAGGGCAGAGCTTCCCAGACAGACAGGTATCCTGGCTGCCCAGTGCCAGGCAGGAAAGAACATCCTAAAGCAGATCCCTGTGGCATTTTACAAGGTGGGGACTGTCCCAAAGGCTCAGGAGACAAGAACAAGAGCACCTAATTAAAAATCAACGCTAAGGCTGGGCATGGTGGCACATGCCTGTAATCCCAGCACTCGGGAGGCTGAGGCAGGAGGATCGTTGTGAGTTCAAGGCCAGCCTGGGCTACAAAGTGAGTTTAAGGCCAGCTTGAACTGCATAGTGAGATCCTGTCTCAAAAAGACACACACACACACACACACACATCAAATCACCACTCAGGGGCCAGGGATACAGCTCAGCGGCACAAGTGCCTGCCTGTGAAGTGCAAGGTCCTGAGTTTGATTCCTGGTACTAAAAAAAAAAAATCACCACTCAATGTTTTTTTTCTTCCCAGGGTAGTATTAGGAAAATCTTTTTGTTTTTCTTCTGTCTTTTTCAGATATGGTTTTGCCCTGTAGCAGCCTTCGGAATGCTGGGAGAACAGGTGTGTGCCATCACACTGGGCCATCAGGCAAACTTTTAAACATTCAGTGCAAGGAGAGCCCACTCCTGCCAGGTGCCAACAGCTAACCGGTGCGCGCCTGCACAGGGGCTGTGTGCGCACCAAGGCCGTGGGGTGGGGCTGGGCGACCACGGCGCGCCTCTTCTGCATCCGTGTGCCTGAGCACCTTTCAAACCCTGGCAGGACCAGAAACCCTTGGCAACCATGCTGGGGGCCGCACAGCAGCAGGGTGTGACTCTCACCTTGTCGCCCTCGTGGGGCTGGTAGTCAAAGCGCAGCGGGGGACAGAAGGCTGCCGCGTGCACCTCAAGTACCTTGGCCTTGTCCCCCGGAGGGTCCAGGGCCTCCAGTGCCTCCTCCAAGCTGCCCAGGCCCTGCATGTGCGAGGCCTGGCTGCGGCTCTCAGCAGCAGCAAAGCTCCGCAGCGCCTGCCCCAGGGCCAGGTGGAAGCCCGTGTCACAGCACTGGGGACAAGAAGCACAGAGGCTAGGTGGTGGTGGGGTGCACAACCCCAGCCCCTGCTGGGGCCCGCTGTCCAACTCACATCCATTAGGTCCAGGACATCATGCAGGTAGTAGTTGCTGACTGCCGCATTGACGCTGGCCAGGCTGAGCAGGTACTCATTGCGCGCCTTGGTACACTTGAGTCTGTGCTCCAGGAACTTGGCCTGGCGCTGCTCAGGACAGTGAGGCCACCGGAGTCACCACTCACAGGTGCCCCACCTCTGGCCTTGCAGGTGACCCCGCCCTGCAGTGACGTCCCACAGGCCCCCCCAACTCCGCATGGACCCCAAATCCTGCTGCTGCCATCCCTCGGCCTGCCGTCCCCATGGCCCCGACTTGACTCCCCAGCTCTTCACCTGCCGCCCACTGTCCTGCTCCCCACGGACAGAGCAGAGGAAGTGACATAGAGCTAGCTATTTGACAAAAGACACATGCACACCCCTCGATGGAGGCAGGAACCAGGCTGGGCGTCTCCAGCCCGGGTTCCTTCCTTTCTCCATTCTGGTTTTTTTTTTTTTTTTTTTTTTTTGAGACAGTCTCACAATCCTCCTGCCTCCGCCTCCCAAGGGCTGGGATGACAGGCCCGTGCCACCACACCCAGCACCCTGTCCTCATTCGTTGTTCAGGTCACCCTGACTGCCCTTCCTCCTCCTCAGTCCTCTCACCACTCAGGAACCCCTCAGGGCCCCAGCGGGGATGCAGGGGCACCAACTTGGAGCACGGGGGAGACGGCATGAGGCCATCCTATGCCCCAACTGTCCCCCTTCTGTCCCTCGGCCCCCACATGCCCTGTACGTAAGCCCTGTAACCCAGTGGCATTGTACCAGCTTGGGGACATGCAGCAGGCCCACCTTCTCCACCAGTCGCCCCCCCTTCTTGACCGAGCTCTTGCGCTGTGGCCCAGCCTCGGCAGCGCTGGCTGGGCTGGTGACAGTGGCAGATGTGGCGGGGGCACTCCGGCCCGCCCTCTTCTCCTCCTGCCGCTCGGCTTCCCGGAGCTTGGCCTCTGCGCTGGCGCTCTCGGCGCAGTATGCCTGGTATGTCTTCCTGGCCTGGGGTGGACCGAGCCAGGTGCCCACTGTCAGCCACCTCCACCAAGCCCGTCCCCTCCCCAGGCCACTTGAGACTCAGAGCTGAACACTAAGTCCAGCCTCTGCTGTCCCTGCTCACCGTCTGGAGCTCTGAGACCACTTCCAGGAGATCATCCTGCAACTGCTGCCCCAGGTCCTTGCTCTAGAGGTGGAGGGCTGTGAGGGCCAGCTCAGCAGCTGCCACCCACCCGCGGGGACGGGCCCCGCCCAGGCCTGGCGCACACACACCTTCTTGATGATGCGCCCCACATCCTCGGCGATGTGGCTCAGCCGCTGTGCCAGGGCGCCCCCCAGCAGCTCACCCAGGGCCGCGCTGTCCCGGCTCTGCTGTCGCGTGTGCTGCAGCAACACAGCCCAGCAGTGCAAAGGCGACAGGAGTGAGGGCTCCTTCCTGGGGGCACGAGGCACTCAGACCAGGCCCGGCCCTGTCGGTGCACCCCCACCGCACGCCCAGCCCTGCCCACAGCACCCACCGGAAGCTCTGCAGCTCACGCCCACCGCCACCCAGGCGGCCCCCACGGGTGGCCAGGCGCTCGGCCAGCTTGTCCAGGCCCCGAGAGTACTCCAGCTCCACCTCGGCGCGGCGCCGCGCAAACTCAGCCAGCTCCTGCAGCAGCTCCCGGCGCAGCTCGCCCTGCAGCTCCAGGCAGCGCAGCTGCTCACCCAGCTGCCAGCGAATCTCTGCGAGGAAGCAGAGGGACTGGAGGAGCTGCCCAGCCCAGGCCTGCGTGGCCAGCAAGAAGGAGGCAGCGCCTCGGAGGCTCCTGGGGACAGGGTCCCGCACTGAGGGCCAAGGGGTCCCAGTGGGAGGGGAGAGCCCTGCAAAGGCCAGGGGCCGATGGGAGTGTGGTAGCTCTGGGGAGCTGAGACTGATTCTTTATTTCTGTCCATTTGGTTGTTTTTTGTTTTTTTTTTTTGTTTTTGAGACAGGGTCTCTCTATGTAGTCCAGGCTGGCTTCAAACTCACTATTATAGCCTAGGCTGGGCTCAAACTTAAGGCAATTCTCCTGCCTCAGCCTCCTAAGTACTTGGAGGACAGGCTGAGATGCCACACACAGCTTGATGCTGTTCAGGAAAGGTGGAACACAGGGCCACCCCAGCCCAATCACCAGGCACAAGGGGCACCTTGGGGTCGAGATGGCCACCTGCACTGAATGCACAGCCTCAGGCCCCAGCACACTGGGAGGCTGAGGCAGGAGGGCGGGAAGTTTGAACCCACCTGGGCAATTTAGGGAGACCCTGTCTCAAAACAAAAACAAGAAAAGGTCTGGGGATGGAGCTCATTGTGAAGGCCTTGGCTTCATCCCAGCACCATAAAAAGAAGAAAGGAAGGAAGGAATAAAAGACGAGCCAGCCTGGGGCTGGGTGTGGCATGGGTGAGCGAGGGACAGAGGGGCTAGTTTCTGTCTTCCTCCCAACCCCCCCTTCTGGGCTTTCCCTCCCCCACAGAAGGCTACGCACAGGTGCCACCCTGCCCGACACCTCATCGATGGCTACATTTGGCAGCACGAGGCTTGGGCAACCTGCTGGCACCACCCTTGGGCGGGGTGTGGCTTCCACCACACAGGCTGCCCTAGTCTCCGTCCCTGTCCCCCCCCCCCCGGGCCAGGGGACAGCTACTACACTGGCACAGGGAGCAGAAGGCAGAGGCTGGGGACTGCAGGGCACAAAGGCACCCTCCTGACTCCTCTCTCGGCCAGGCTCAAGTGACATTGACCTCTCTGTCTCCAACTCAGATGGACCATGCCTGGCCTCTGCGTCACCCCCACTAGACCCTCTGGGGACAGCTCCACCGGCACTCTCCAGCCACCAACGGGTCAGGCTAGACAAACGGGAGCTTGGAATGCGGGGACGTTGGACCGCGAAGCCAAAGGCAGGGCAGGGCCAGGAGCTCAGGTGCCTGGCAGGACGGCAGGAGGCGCCCTGGAGGTCCTGTGGCCTCCCGTGGTCCCTGTTGGCTACCAAGAGTCCTCACGAAGCAGGGAAAAGGAAAGTTCATTTCATTCATCAAAGGCTTTCGACCACCCAGCTGCCCTGCCCTGCCCTGCCCTGCCCTGGGGACCTGTTGCCACTGAGCTGAGGCAAATGGAGCAGAGACCACTGCATTGTTTACTCCCACCCTTCCCTTCTGCCGCTGTCCTGCCCCACCCCCACCCGTGTGGACATGCGCACTGGCCACCGGGCCCCGAGCAGCTGGAAATCGCAAGGCAATTGCATTTGTCCTCCCCAGAGAGCCAGAAAGGGGAAGGCTGCCTGCAGCTTGCAGACAGCTCAGAGACCTGTCCTGACCTGCCCCCAGCTCAGTGGCCCTGCCCCACCCCTCCTGGCGGGTACCTTGCAGCACATGATGGCTTGTTTGCTAGTGTCTCCCACACGCCTGTGAGCAGGAACTGGTCTGCATACCTCACTCTTCTCTCTGGCCTTCGCACTGAGCTTCACCCCCAGCCCTATATATGTATTTCTTTTTATTTTGAAACAGGGTCTCATTAAGTCACTAAATTGCCGAGGCTGGGCTGCAGCTTGGGATCCTCCCGTTTCAGCCTCCCAGAGTGCTGAGATCAGAGGTGTGCACCACCACACCCGGCTGTGGTTCTGTCCAGTACAGTGGTGCACTCCCAGGGCCTGGGACAGAACAGATGCATACAAAACATCCGGCAAAACAAAGGACAGGAGCCTGGAATCCCCGATCCGTCTCTTTGAATTGCAAAGCTGGGCCTCCCATCACACTTCCTGTGTCACACTTCCTGTGAGCGCCGGCGGGGCTCTCACTTCTGCTGCAGAAGGAAGATGGCCTCCCTGCCACCACTCTGCTGACGTGGAGAACCAAGTGTGGCAAGACCACGGCCCTGTCTCCCTCACACATTCGTAGGCCCTCGGCGGGGGTGGAAAGCAGAGGACACCAGTACGGGGAAGCAGCGCGCCAGGGCCATTGGGAGCAGCTTGCTCCAACTTCAGCTTCGCACGGGCCCGGCCGGCTCTGCCGACTGCAGGGCCCCCACGCTGGCTGCCGCCCTGAGCCCCACAGCATTTGAGGAAGTCGGGTGTGAGCCCTCCTGACACGATGCCCGGCCCCGCAAGGCCGCTGCGCCCTCCACGGTGGTCTGGAGCTGGCTCTGGGACCCAGGAGGTGCTAGGAGGGCAGCGGGCGCACCGGGGTGGGGACAGCTGGCACTGCACACTTACAGCGGCACCCACGGGTCCGGTGGCAACGTGCCCCGAGGACCACCTTATTACCTCCTAGGAGACCCGCAGTCACCTCTCTCAGCTCCATTCCACCATGGGGAAAGAGGAGCCGTTGAGTGACGTCGGGGCTGGACATCTGCTGGCCCTCCATCACTGCACCGGACTCACTGAAGCCGAGCGCGGAATTTGCAAGTGTATTTGCATGCGATTTGCGCGAGCGTCAGCAGAACCCCAAGAGGCCCGACTGCACCGGGCTGCAAGCCTGCAGGATTCACACCACCAGGGCCTGGGGGCAGGTGCCAGGGCTCCAGGGACAGGACTGCAGTCGAGCTGGGTCACCAGGCTGCTCACTGCCACTCCCCAGTAGGCCACCTCCTCCTCAGGCCCGGGCGGAGACCAAAGAGGGGGCAGGGGAAGAGAGAAGCGAGAGGGCTGGCACGGCCGTCCCCCAGCCCGGTGTCGTCCGCGGCCTGTCAGACGCCCGCTCACCTTTGACCTGCGCCTCGTACTCAGCCTGTAGCCCTCGCTCCCGCCGCAGCTTCCCGTGCGCCGCCATCGCGGCCCACTGGCCGCGCCGTCGAGCCCCGCTGCTCCCACGAGGGCCAGC